CTTCAAAAAGGAAATGAATCATTATTGTAATGGTACCTGATGAAAGTGGTCTGTTTTTTTTTCATTAAATATTAGCTCTGATTCACATCGAGCTCTCAGGATTTCATCCTCCTTGAATTACCCATTCGTTTACCAAGTTCTTCGAATTTAACATAACATATATATATATATATATATATATATATATATATATATATATACACAAACAAGCAGTCACTTTCTCACCACCATAGTATAGTGCCCCTGTGCCTTTTCTATAAATACTTTCATGGTAATTGTTCTGTTGAACTTACTTCTATGGCACCTAGACTTTATAAATTTAAGCATAGTACTAGATTTTACAGTTGAAATGCTTAGATGTAACTAAGTTCTATGCTAACTGTTTCTTCCACCGAATGTCTCACTTGTGAAAATTGTCCAGCTTCTTGCTTCCCAGTCAACTTTGACCATCAAAAATTTAAATGAAATGTCAATTGAGATCTTCTGCTTTCCTGATTCCTGTTCTCTCTCCTCGATACTGTTTTTTTTGTCATATTCTCTAACACTCAGTAACCCCTTGCATCTTAGTGGTTTTATTGCTTTGCTTGGGGTGAAATGATAAAAGAAAAACATCAAAGAAAAAGATAAAACTGAAGAAATTGTTCACAAAGAATAAGGGCTTTCAAGAAATTATTGAAATATTTTTTTTTTTTTTTACATTTCATAGATAATATTGATGAAAGCTTAGTAAGTTCTATCTGAAGAATAATAATAAATATACATTTTTTTCTCAACATTAACACAACCAAGTTTCAGACTTGAGAATTATCAGGTGTAGATTGAAAACTAACCCGCACCTGACATTTATCTTATTCATGAAACAAGTTTCTAGACTTGAGAATTATCAGGTTATTTGTATAATTTTGAAAATTGTTTTAAAATTTTGTCTTAAGCCAAAAATTTTTACTTTTTAAAAATTTTTTTATGCTTTTCCTTTTAACTTTGTTCCTAACAGAAAATTATGACATTTATCTTATTCATGAAAAACAAGTTGCTCTTCTGTCAACTTCATCTTAATTATTATTCTTAGTTTAATCCATAGCTTTTATAAGGACTATCTTACTAAGGAAATTCAAGTTGTGCTAACGGTGAGGAACAAATGTATTTATTATTAGTATAAATTTGAGCACATATATATTTTTTCTCTTCATTATTTGTATAATTTTGTTTTTTTTGTTAGGAGATTGTTTTAAAATTTTGTCTTAAGCCAAAAATTTTTTAAAAAAATTTTTTATGACTTTTTAAAAAATTTTTTATGCTTTTTCTGTCAACTTCATTTAACCATAGCTTTGTTCCTAACAGAAAATTATGGATTTATTAATAAATTTGAGCATAATTTTTTCTCTTCAAAAGCTTAATTTTGTTTTTGTTAGGATCAACAAACAAAAATTTTTTTATGTTTCCTTTTAACTTTGTTCCTAACAGAAAATCTTCTTCCTCAAAAAGCTTCATCTTAAAGTTGCTCTTCTGTCAACTTCATTATTATTATTCTTAGTTTAATCCATAGCTTTATAAGGACTATCTTACTAATGAAATTCAGAGTTGTGCTAACGGTGAGGAACAAATGTATATTTATTATTAGTATAAATTTGAGCACATATATATTTTTTCTCTTCATTATTTGTATAATTTTGTTTTTGTTAGGAGATTGTTTTAAAATTTTGTCTTAAGCCAAAAATTTTTACTTTTTAAAAAATTTTTTTATGCTTTTTCCTTTTAACTTTGTTCCTAACAGAAAATTATGGATTAATAACTGGGCATAAAACTTCATCTTAATTATTATTCTTAGTTTAATTATCTTACTAATGAAATTCAGGGAACAAATGTATATTTATTATTAGTATAAATTTGAGCATTATATTTTTCTCTTCATTATTTGTATAATTTGTTTTTTTAGGAGATTGTTTTAAAATTTTGTCTTAAGCCAAAAATTTTTACTTTTTAAAAAATTTTTTTATGCTTTTTCCTTTTAACTTTGTTCCTAACAGAAAATTATGGATTAATAACTGGGCATAATTCCTCAAAAGCTTAACATCAACAAACAAGTTGCTCTTCTGTCAACTTCATCTTAATTATTATTCTTAGTTTAATCCATAGCTTTATAAGGACTATCTTACTAATGAAATTCAGAGTTGTGCTAACGGTGAGGAACAAATGTATATTTATTATTAGTATAAATTTGAGCATATATGTGTATATATATATATATGTGTAGTGCACAGTGAGTAATAAAACAGTGCTCCATGTATCCTAACAGCTGAAATTTATACTACTAACAAATATGCATTTTTTTTTTATTGACAATTAAATGTCATAAAATACAATTGACCTCATGTAAAATGGTTTGTAACAATCTTCTTCTGTCTGCTATGTCCCTTCAGGACATAGGAAGTTTTTTTTTTTTTTAACAACTTCCTGTCTTTTGTAGCTCTTAGCAATGTTTGCTTTTTTGCTATCTCTCTTAATTCCTGTTCTGCCAATCATTTACACAACCTTGTTAGGGAGGTCACTCACTGAGTTCTGCTCTCCCTTCAATAAGTCCTGTGGGTTATCAAATTCTCCAAGCCCTCTTTTCTCATTATGCACTCTAGAAATTTCAACTGTCTCTTTCTAAGTATAAATGTACTTTTATTTTCCATTTTCCTTAAAACGTTGATGTTGCTCACATTTTTAGTCCATAGTATAGGGTGTGAGTGCTATTTTAAGTTCACTACACACTCAAATCATAATATTTTTTTTTTTATTACAGATAACCCAGTCAGAGGAAGATGTTAACCAAAGAAATGAAAAGACATGCAGTCATTGCTGCTTTAGCTGCAAAATAGGGATTTAAAAATCAGTAACTTTTTACATGTTGCCAGATCATTTGTTCATAAGGTTCGGTTGGAGCTAGAGGGATGTGATGGCAATGTTTCCTCTGTAGCAAAAAGAAAAACGCATTCACAGCACTCTGATACTGTGAGAACACCAGAATTTATATGGTGTGTTCAAAACAATCAATTTCAAAATTTTGGGAAATAAGTTGGCCTGAAATCTTTTCAGGACCATTTGTGTTTTTTCTCTGCTATTCCAAAGTAAATTTGTTCTATGAAATTGCAATTACCATTAATTTATATGAGGAAGATTTTGGAGATTACCCAGAGCCCTACCCCAAATAGTCTTGGACAAGTTTTTTTTTTTTCTTTTGCTATATTTTGCAGTGCTGCAATATTTACAGAAAAGCATGACTGAATACAAACTGGAAACCACTCCACTATTTTTTCCATGAATGCATAGCAATTCAGAGATAAAGAAAAGGAAGCTGTGAAGAGTCATGATCATTTATGTCCTGAAGGGGTATGGCATAAAAAATAGAGATAATTATAGTAATATGGTTTGAAATAAGGAAAAGTTTATTTTTTTTATTGTTTTAATTATTTCACTCCAAGCAAGGCGATTATGCCACTAAGATGCAAGGAGCTACTGGGAGTGAAGGAGAATGAAAAAGATTTTAGAAGGAACTAGAAGCAAAATTCTAAACAGGAAACAAGGGATAAACCTCTACTCCTGTTCAAAAGACTGGGAAGGAGTATGAACCGGGCAATAGGTGAAACTCTCTCCTATCAGAGTAAAGTATTTACAGAGAGAATATGAAGGAGTTAAGATCAAGGCATTACATATACCTCTTTGGATTTGCTTTGGTTAAGATGTAATAACAAAGGAAATGAATATAGAAAAGATCGTAGAAATATTTAAAAAGAAAAAAAAGATTGTGAAAGGGGAGATAAGCCAACAGAAACTAAAAAGAAAGCAATAATATTTAAGTTTGATGTAAATAGAATATTCTCTTGAGAGAGAGAAACAATGATATCTGAAGAAGTAAAACAGAGCCAATTATTTGATGAAATTACTTTAAAGGAACTCGGAAGAAAAAAAAAAGTTCTTGTTAGACCAACAACAATTGTTTTAGGTAAAAAAAGAAACTAACAAAGGTGTTTAGTGCAACCATTCCATTTAGAAAACATTCTCAGGTATTTCAAACAGTGATCACAATATTTGTTCTAACCTGTGTTGACATTGCATGACATTACAAGTTTTATAAGTGAAAGAGAAGTAAAAGGAAAGTAGGGATACTTTTTTTGGTTGGCAGCTAAATTGAAAGGAAATTAAAATGCAAAACAGACAAGTTTATCAGGAATTCATCTAAAAAAATTTCAAGTCATTGGTGAGAGTTAAAAAAAAAATATATGTAATCACAAACAAGTAGAGCATACTAAGGTGATTCAGAATTTTTCTGATTTCTTTTTCAAACAAACATCTTCAATTATTTGCAAAATGTAGAATAGAGGAAAAAACAGGCAAAAAAAAGAAAAAAAAGAAAACATAACAGCTAATAAACTAAATTCAAACACTTTCAAATTCATTGATATTGAAAACTACAGGATTTGTTTTCTATTTCAAGCAGATAAAAACTTACAAACATTTATAAGCAAAATAACTACAGACTTGCATAACAAGTTTAATTGATAGTGTTAATTTTGAAGAGAAAATAAGAAAAAAATAAGAAAAAAGAAAGAAAAAGATTTTTTAGAGAGGATTAATTTTTATATATATTTCTCCAATAAGACTTAGGATGTGGCGAACATTCATTCAAATGCTTTCATTTTTCTAACCGACTCCTTGAAGCACAAAAAGCTTTTTATGATACATGATAAATCTTGGGTTTAATCAGATATTAAGATTGATTGATTTTTTACAGTCTATCAACTTTTTGTAGGTTATTTAAAGCCAGAAAATATCTTAGATTTTAAGAATTTTTTGAGATAATGATTTACAGACAAACCCTACTAATTAACCCATATCTGGGGAGAGAGAAGAGGTGGATTCATACCTTTCCCAAGTGAAATAATGAACATGATTGGATGTGGAGTTCATCTCTCCAAGATGTTATCTATTACACCACTTGTTACATCCAAACTTATAACACCTGGTATTCCCAAGTAGTCACCCATCTAAGTACTGACCAAACTCAACATTGCTTAACTTTGGTATTTGTATGAGAACCAGTGTTTGAATGCAATATGGCTGTAAGCCTATGATAATTGCTAAGTGATATGTTCTTATGACTTGTATTTCTGTGGCATGAAACATAATTAAGAAATTACATTGTCAGTTAAATTTAACAAAACATGTTATTGACATCCTCAATCTTAAAACATTGTTCAATTAGATTTTTCTTTTTTTTTTAAAAATAGATTTAAGTAATTCTTTGTAATTATTGTTATATAGTATTTTAGAGAATTATTAGTAGATAATTTTAATGTTAACAGCTATCTTTTGGTCTCATGCTGATCAATCAAAAGTGATTACACAGTCTTGTGGGTGATGAATTTTTTCCCACCGTGTAACCTCTTTCCCACTACTCACTACTGTTACTATGGCAAATATTCAAATGAGTTACATTCCTTAGTTTCAGACCCTCAAAGCAAGACCCACTATACCTTTGGTGAGAAGGAAGTTCCACTCAGACAGCTTCTTCCACAGAACTGCTTCATTGTCGAACAGATACAAGAGGATGCAACTGCAGCCATTACAATCTTTACCTCTTGAAGCCTATGGTCAACCATTATCTATCCAACATACTCTCATAACATGTACTTCTGCCTTCCCTATGTCCTTGTAACAATCTCATTCAGTAACCTACCTGGAAGGGCTCTTGGGCCTTGTATTGGGTGAACAATAGTAAAACAAAAATGCATGTTAAACCATGAGTTAATTTAATTATTCTAAATTACAGTGAAATCTGATTGATTTTCTATGGTTTATCAACCCTTTGGAGGTTATTTAAAGCCAGAAAAAATATATTTTTTATTTAGAGTGTAAGAATTTTTTTGGGGAAATAATGATTTAGTGATAAAAGTCTTATTAATGTAACCTAAAGCTGGTGGGGGAAAAGAAGTGGATTCATACCTTTCACAAGGGCATTTGCGCATAAGTGAATTTAATGAACCCAATTGGAATTTGGAACTCAGCTCTCTGATTAACAATTCTGATCCATTACACCAAACACACATCCAAGCTTACAGCACCTGGTATTTCCAAAGTGGTCACCCAACGAGGTACTGACCAGGCCTGATGTTGCTTAACTTTGGTGATCCTACAGGAACTGGTGTGTCAATGCGATGTGGCTGTAAGCCTAAAGTGAAATCTAACCTCTTTTTGAGACTACTGGAACATATATATTCAAATGTTTCCATGATTGTCAAGATATATATCTCATAAATCTCTTTCAGAAATCTACTGGGATACAACTCAAAAAAAAAAGATTAGATTTTCCTACCTTTATAACTACAATGACGTTATTATAGGAATTAAAAGGTTGTGTGTTTGTGTGTTCACATCAACAATTAAAGAAGCAACAAAACCTGGGTTTATACTATGAACAGTTTATTCAGTTTTTTATATAATGGAAACAATGATTTATAATAGTTAGCTCAAGTCAGCCTTGTGCTGAGCTGGAACAACCAAAGTAAAACTTGTCTTATTTCACATTGCTTATGCTATACTGTTCTCAGTATTAATGTAGAAAAAGGTTATTCCAAAGTTGGAATAATACTTTTTGTCAATGCTCAATTTTTGCTATAAAGCAAAAATATGTCCATTATATCTTATCAGTTATGGTTTGTAGTAGAAGCATTTAGCTTAAACAAGCACATAGCCACAGTAAAAAACAAATGCTCATTAGCATTTCCATGATATAAAATTCAAACATTAACAAAATTAAATAAAAAGTTTAAATTTTATTTCTTTTTTAAGTAAATTCTGAATTATTTTGTTTTAAGGGAAGTTTTGTTTTTACTAAAAAAAAAAAAAAAAAAAAAAGGTAATTGGCTTTATGTAAATAAAGCTTTAAAATTAACCAACAATCAATGGCTTGCAAGACCAGCATTCTTTTGTTTAACTGGCAAGTAGAAAGCTTGGCCCAAGGCCATATTTATTAGTGATGGGATGATTTTTTGAAATCAAGACTATCAGAACTTTTTGGGGTAATGGAATTGAAGGATTTTTAACCTAATTTCTGATTCCCAAAATGATTCTTTGGATTTTTTTCCATTCCTGGTACTAATAATAAAAAGATATAAATATTTATTGCTTTTAAACTGTCATTCTAAATTTGTTCCATTTAATGAAAAATGTCATAAAATATTAAGGAGATTGCATAATATTTAGAGGACACCTTTGCTTGTTAAAACTTAAAAAGGTGGACAAAAATATAGACCCTTTTTTATTTCACAATTAACAGCAAACCATTATTAGTTGGATCTTTATAAATTATACATATTAAAAAACTAGGAACATTTGTTATCTAACAGTGTAAAATTTAAATTTTAACTGATGTTTATTATTTTCAGACACCAGTTATGGCAAGTGTATCCAATGCCAAGCAGAAAAGTGTAGGTTGTAAGTTTTTTTTTTTTTGTTTTCTGGTGATAATCAAAGTAAAGCAATATGTCAACTGTAGCAAACTGAAGTGATTTATGTAAATAAATTGTTTTTTTATTGTTTAAACCCTTATCCAATGTTTTAAATAAAAAGGATATCTAACTTCATAAGCTTTTGTATTCATTTTTCTACTAAATGTTTTATTAATAAATGTACTTTGTTCATTAATTTTCCCAAACCAACTGTAAGATCTGAAAAGTAGGTATTGAAATTGGAAATTTAGAGTTGTATTGGAATCGGTAAAAATGTTGGTATCATTCCATCACTAATATTTATGAATCTTCAAGAATTGATCCACGTGTTATTGGTTTTGTAAGATCAGAGCACAAACCACTTCCCAATGAGTGGATAATCCAAAAAGTAGGAATTAAATAAATGTAGAAATAGAATATTTTTTCACAATTCTTATGGGTAGCTAAGTATAGAGAAATACAAAAATTAAGACTAGAAAGAAATGAATGAAAATGAAGAAATTAGTTAGCCAAAATGGTGGTGGTAGTAGTGGGAAGAAGGAGGTTAGTAATTTTTGAGGTGATGGAAAGAAAAAGAGATAATGGGAGAGAGGAAGAGTAGGGTGAAAGAAGAGGAGTAGAGAGAGAGAGAGAGCAGAAGTAGAATGGGAGTATAAGGACGAGGAGAATATATAGAAAGAGAGAGAGAGAGAGAGAGGATGCAAAGAGTAGGGGAGAGAGAGAGGATGAGAAAGAGAGAAGACGGGAGAGTAGGGAGAGAGAGAAGACGGGAGAGTAGGGAGAGAGAGAGAGAGAGGAGAGGGGAGAGAGAGAGAGAGAAGACGGGAGAGAGAGAGAGAGAAGACGGGAGAGAGAGAGAAGACGGGAGAGTAGAGAGAGAGAGAAAGAGAAGACGGGAGAGAGGGAGAGAGAGAAGACGGGAGAGTAGGGAGAGAGAGAGAGAGAAGACGGAGAGTAGGGAGAGAGGAGAGAGAAGACGGGAGTAGGGAGAGAGAGAGAGAGAAGACGGGAGAGGGGAGAGAGAGAGAGAGAAGACGGGAGAGGGGAGAGAGAGAGAGAGAGAAGAAGACGGGAGAGTAGGGAGAGAGAGAGAGAGAAGATTTTAGAGTAGGGAGAGAGAGAGAGAAGACGGGAGAGTAGGGAGAGAGAGAGAGAGAGAAGACGGGAGAGAGAGGGAGAGAGAGAGAGAGAGAGAAGACGGGAGAGTAGGGAGAGAGAGAGAGAGAGAGACGGGAGAGTAGGGAGAGAGAGAGAGAGAGAGACGGGAGAGTAGGGAGAGAGAGAGAGAGAAGACGGGAGAGTAGGGAGAGAGAGAGAGAGAAGACGGAGAGTAGGGGAGAGAGAGAGAGAAGACGGAGAGAGGGGAGAGAGAGAGAGAGAGATGGGAGAGAGGGAGAGAGAGAGAGAGAAGACGGGAGAGAGAGAGAGAGAGAGAAGACGGGAGAGTAGGGAGAGAGAGAGAGAGGGAGAGATGGGAGAGAGAGAGAGAGAGAGAAGACGGGAGAGGGGGGAGAGAGAGAGAGAAGACGGGAGAGTAGGGAGAGAGAGAGAGAAGACGGGAGAGTAGGGAGAGAGAGAGAAGACGGGAGAGTAGGGAAGAGAGAGAGAAGACGGGAGAGTAGGGAAGAGAGAGAGAAGACGGGAGAGTAGGGAAGAGAGAGAGAAGACGGGAGAGTAGGGGAGAGAGAGGACGAGGAGAGTCTCGATAGAGAGAGAGGGAGGACGAGGAGAGTCTCGATAGAGAGAGAGGACGAGGAGAGCCCTCGAGAGAGAGAGAGAGAGGATGAGGAGAGTCTCGAGAGAGAGAGGACGAGGAGAGTCTCGAGAGAGAGGACGAGGAGGAGTCTTGAGAGAGAGACGAGGAGGAGTCTCTCTCTCTCTTGAGAGAGGACGAGGAGAGTCTCTCTCTCTCTCTTGAGAGAGGACGAGGAGAATCTCTCGAGAGAGGACGAGGAGAATCTCGAGAGAGAGATAGAAGACGAGGGGTATTTTGGAGGTGGGATGGAAGAATATTTATTTCCATTCCCATATTTGTGTATTTTTATTTATTTATTTTTTTTTTTTTTTAAATAGATGAGCATTAAAGTAAAATACTTTAAGAAGTAAGGAAAAAAATGAAATGCAGGACATCATATATGAAAGGGTCCCAGCTAACAAGTGAAGAAATGTTAGCTAAATAAATAAAAAGAAAAATCCCAATTCAGTGATTTGTATTTGATTAGACAAATTTAGTCTCAAGGAGTTGGCCAAAAAAATACAGCCAAATAAACAAAAATATTGACAAAGATAGGAATAAACATACCAGAGAACCAGCAGAATATTTACGAGTTTAGATTCAAAATTTAAACACGCCACCATATTTGTTAGCATCAGCTAACCTTGAGGTATATATGAAGGTGTGCTAAGAAGTTCATGGCTCAACCAATAAAACCCACCAAAAAAGATGCATTCTGACATTTGGTCAGATTTATGGCAGTGGGTTGGATTGAAAACTTTTCAGCACCACCTTATATAACTCTTTGTATGAAGAATTAACAGAGCTTTTATATAAAAAAAAAAAAAATACTAATACGTTCACAAGCATGCAATATTGGTATGGTCTACAAATAGAGAGCACCAGACGAAATGGAAAAAGACATGCAAAGTCATTTGCTAAGACATGCAGAGATATTCAAGGAAAGTAACAGAATTTGAATTTTGACCCATGCAAATGGGAGGGTAGGGAAAGGAAAACTGACTGAAAGAGGGGGAAGGGGGAAGAAGAAAAAAAAAAAAAAGGCAAATTGTTAAATCCAGAAAAAAAAGTTTGGGGGTTTTTTTTTTTTTTTTTGGCTGTTGGTCCAAACAAGAGAAATACCGCTTACCCTTGGTAACCTGTACTGTTTTTGATACTGTAGTATCTGGATTGGTAATATACACGAAAGGTCAGAAGAGGGAAAGTGAAAGAGGAAAATATAAGCTGATTATCATCAGTAGTAAAAGTATTAAATCAGAAGAGATGACAAATTTTGAGTGATCAGATTATCCTTGAAAATGTCAATTTAAAAAAAAATAAATAAATAAAAGTAAAAAAAAACTGACTCCCCAAAAGTCTTATTCAAAAACTCAAAGAAATTAAAGACAAAAATCTTTTGAGAGCTATGTGTTAAGGAAACCAATACTTGTTACCGTATTGTAGAAAAAAAAGTGTAGTCTTAAATTGTGAAACTTTTTGAATAAATAAAATTAATTTTTAATTTAGTATATCAATTGATACAAAAAAAAAAAAAAAAATAAGGTGATAAAAATTTAAATTTAATTCAAAGAGATCTTGTAAATTTTATTCTTAAATACCAAAAAGTTGGTGATATGTAAATCAGAAGAAAAATAGATAATGCATATTAAAATAACAGTTCTGAAGAAAAAGGCTACAAATATGCATATGACATAATTGGTTATAAGAAAATAAGAGGCAAAGATAAAAAAAAGTAAATGAAGAAAGCATGATGGAAAAGAAAAGAAAAATATCCACAAATGAAGAACCACCGTAGAATAGTAATGAAGTGTACATATATAAAGAAAAATTGAACAGGAAAAAAAAAGAAAAGGTGGTTAGAGAAAGAAAACTAGAATTAAATAAAAGTTCAATGAATTCCCATCTATATATTTTTTATGGTGTCAAATTCCCTAATTAAATATTAATGATACTAGCAATAAAAAAAATATTTGTAAAATAGTTCTTTTTTTACAAATAATTCATTTTTAGAATAAAACAAAATTTAAATATTTTGAAATATGTCTTTTTAAAATCTTTAATAAAGAATTTTCTTAAAGAATAAAAGTAATACAAGAAGTTAATTAGCTTACAAACTGACATTTATGCAGTATATGTAATGTACAATACATATCTGATATAAAATACATATGTAGATATTTACCAACATTAAGAGAGAGGGAGAGGAGTGAGGAAGGGGATAGAGGGAGAGGAAGGGGATAGAGGGAGAGGAAGGGGATAGAGGGGGAGGAAGGGGATAGGGGGGAGGGATAGAGGAGGAAGGGGATGGGGGGAGGGAAGGGGATAGAGGGAGAGGAAGGGATAGGGGAGAGGAAGGGGAGAGAGGGAGAGGAGTGAGGAAGGGGAGAGAGGGAGAGGAGTGAGGAAGGGGAGAGAGAGAAGAGTAAGGAGGGAGAACATCATTAAATGTATTTTATAGCTTTTCAATTAGTTATTTTTTTTTTTTAAATGTCATCTTTGTTTTTTCTGGTGTAAACTTCCCACAAGACAAAGATTCAACCTAAACAAAGTTGAAAAATGAACCCAAAACATTGAGAAATAAAGAAACCAAAACAAAGTTGAGAACAGAGAAATAAATTCATTGTGTGTTAATAATTTAGAGAAAATGTCATAAAAAAGCCTTTCATAAAAATACAAAAAATTTTATTTAATGATGGGAAAGTGGGGCAAAGTACTCCTGTTGACAGAATTTCTTACCTCCTGATGCGATGGTGTCCTCTGAACCAGCAGGAGTAGAATTCATGGTTCCATATCCACTAGAACATTGCAAAGAAGTTCGACTGGTAGCGGCGGCACTACTTGGAGGCTCCTCAGTCGGACACTTGAGAGCAGCAGTGCTGGCTTCAAGTACCTTGATGGCCTTGGCCAACTCGAGAGAGTTTTGTTGGATCTGGTCAAAAACAGCCATCATAAGATTAATTTCATTTTTCAAAGGGAATCAACAGAGAAATGAAATATATGCACAGTAAGAATTTCACTTTTTAAAACATCTTGACAGCATCAACTTTTTTTTTTTTTTTAACAATTTTTTTTTTGGTTAATTGTATATCTCTTTAAGGATAAATTTCTATATTTTAAACATATTTAAATAGAAAGCGGTTATTTTTCTGTTTCCATGATCAATTTAGAATTTTTTTTTATAATTGGAAATGCTGTCAAGAATTTAAAAAGCGTTTAAAAACAAAAAAACTGTAATAAAATATTAAATTTAGTTATAATAGATTTCCCTCTTAATGAAAAGAAAGCACTTGAATATAAACAGTAATAATTAAAATGCATTTTTTACTACACAGCTAAGAAAAAACACAAAAATACAAAACACTGCTATATTCTGTGGCTATAAAAACAAAGTTTGTTAGCAAACTAGTGTCAAATTAAAAGTTAATAAATGTCATGCATCATTTGTAGAGGACTTTATTCTTTAAGCATGCCAGAGTTATTTCCCTTGATATCCGGATAACCGTAATTGTACGCGGTTTTAACGTACATAAAAATATCTGACAAACACACTGCATTCAAATTTATCATAGGTGTTCGTCCTTGATAGTTTTGGTTAGCAGTGTACATTGGCAAGAACTTTGAACAAGCTGGCAATATGTTATTTTTTTCTCATAGAAACTAGGTGTTGCTGTAGGTAGTGTAATATAACTGAATTCAAATAAGTGTTTAAAAAATGGCTTTAAACTAGATTTCTCATATGTTAGCCTGATGTGTATTTGGGTTTAAAATACTGCTGAAGACCCCTTTTCAGTAATTTAAAAAAAAAAAAAAGTAGGAGAGCTCAGTTTGTAGGATTTTTTTTTAAGACAAATCTAGACAGTACAATTGTCATTCCTATCAAGGTTTTTTTTATTCAAGTATCTCAGGTTGCTGTAATATCCTGTAGATGTAGTTCCATATTGATTGAATGCAAATACCTTAATTAAAATACAAAAAATGAAACTTGACAACCAATTGTACCAAACAAAAGTAGGTCAAAAAGTTCTTAAAGTATCTCTGGCTCAAATTCTGGATTTTGGTAATAACACTGAAAAGTATTTTACGAAAAAGATATTTAAGTATAACTGGATATCTCTTGTAGAAGACAGTTACCACCATCTTGAATTAAGATAAAAATTAACAGGATTCAAATTTGCTTCAGATAAACAGGCAACTAATGCAGAAATCTATATTACTGCATCACAGATAAGGCAAAAATTCTAACAAACTTTCTATAACCAAGAAAACTTAAAGCTTGTCAACCAAATGTTTCTAGGGTGTTTAAACATTAATTTTTTTTTTTTTTTTTTTTAAAGTTATTTCCAAAATATTAGGTGTGTGCAAAAGTTTCCGTTTTATTTTTTTAAATTTAAAAAAAAAAAAATTATGCTAACTAGTAATGTTGCATGTTTAGTATTTGACTAACCTACCAATTTTAACATTATATTCTAGTAAAAGATAAATTTTTAATAAAATATTCAAAGTATGGAAATAAAGATTGAATTAGGGAAAACCAGTTGGATTATTTACACTATTTATATTTGGACTTACCACAGAAAGAAATAGTAACCTACTGTGGGAAAAAATCTGCCTCGTCAGTAATGTATCAAAAGATACATGATCGCCTAGGCATGTCTCATGCATGGCACATAACTGACTGAATATTTGGATTATTGTTTTCATCTTTGTTTTTGTTATCCCAACGTCTTAGCAGTTGTGGCCTCCAGCCTTCCTCAAATGTATATTGATTTAGGTAAGCTACAGAGATTTCTGAACTGAACCTTTTATCTAATTTATGAAATGTAATAACAACAAAGATGAGTACAATAGTCTGAATATAAATAGTGTAAATAAGGATAACTCCTCATACCAGAAATTCAAACAGAAATTAACCAGTTTGATGTTTAGATTTTTTTTTATTCTGTTAACATTTTGCTCTGTAAGAGCATTCTTGTTCTGATGATGCTCTTATAGAATGAAATGTTAACAGAATAAAAAAATTTAAACATCTAATTTACATATTGCATTTTAATATATATGTTCTTACAAGATACTTATGAATTTATATGAATTGTCAAACTTTAACAATGGTGAATGGGGCTGATAAAGAAAAAAAACTAAGAACAATGAACAAGAAGAAAAAAATTAAATCATGCAAGCACAAGTAATGAATTTAATCCAATGAAGTTTGATCAAAAGGTAAAATTTAAAAAAAATTACAAATTTAACACTGACCATGCTGAATTAGCCAAAACAATCATGCAAAATATTTGCAAAATACAATTAAGTTTATAATATTACATAATCAGAACTTCCTTGATATATTGGAGATTATTATTTTGAATATACACTCATAGACATATAACCTTGCCATGAATTTGCTGCCTTGTGCCAGACTTCAATCATTGGCATATAGTTATGAGTTTCCTGCTTTTTTCCTTTCCTTGTTAGGTAAGAAATTTTACCTTGGATGAGTGCATAGTTACAATGGTTAATTTTTAACAATGCTACTTTCTCATATAGATAGGAATTAAAGTTAATTTTTATACAATAGACTCACTGTCAAAATTATTAGACAATAAGATAAAGTTAACTTGAAAGACAAAAATTGTCTTTTTTCTTTTTATTCACAATTTATTGCATATTATATATATATATATATATATATATATATATATATATATATACATACATAATTTTAAACCTTTTTTTGGACAATTTGCAGTGTTTGGTTAAGTCCAAACTTACTGATTTATCAAGGGTCAATATATATTTTTAATAAGAAAATTAGTTAAGTGTTAACACAAAATAACATGAAATAACATTTCTTGCAAGTGAAAAAAAAAAAAAAAAGGAAATAGTTTACACACACAAAAACACCAAATCTTCCAGAGAGGGATAATGGAACAAATTACCAACACCAATGTAAGACTACGGGGTATATGTAATAAAAAAAAAAATTTTTTTTTTTTTATTATTATTGGAAATTGGGTGAATGGTCAGGGAAAGGATCTTGAAATGACAAAGAACAAACCCAGAAATAAAAGAAGGGTGAGAGTGATAAAACACACAGGGTCATGTAATGCTTAAAATGTAATTATAAAAAAAGGAAAAATTAGTAAGATTGCCCTTATAAAGCTATGGATTAAACTAAGAATAATAATTAAGATGAAGTTGACAGAAGAGCAACTTGTTTGTTGATGTTAAAGTTTTTGGGGAATTATACCCAGTTATTAATCCATAATTTTCTGTTAGGAACAAAGTTAAAAGGAAAAAGCATAAAAATTTTTTTTTTAAAAGTAAAAAAATTGTGGCTTAAGACAAAATTTTAAAACAATCTAACAAGATTATACAAATATTGAAGATATATATATATATATATATATATATATATATTTTGCATATTGAGTAGTGGTATTAATAAAATAGTACTTGGTGTAGAATAACACAGCTATAATTTATATATTAGTAATAAATATACATTTTTGATTTTTTTCCTTCCTCACTGGTAGCACAACTTTGAGTTTCATGCACAGTGCAATCTTCAGGTACCAATTGAGAACTGTTTTCAATCAACACCTGAAGACTCCGTTGTGCAGGAAACTCAAAGTTGTGTTATTGGTGAAGAAAAAAAAAATTGTGTGTGTAAGATATAAATCTGGATCTATACATTTTCTTTTTTTTCAATAAAAGTATTAAACACTATTCTTGGCATTAAGTAGTCTAATTCTCTACATACATGTGAAAGCATGTGTGATACCTTACCCTTGTCATCTGCCAACCAGGAGAGGTAACACAGTTTCAGTGGCTAGGGTGGTACTGCCACCCCTGGCACCGCCAGCAGCTTCTACCACTGGACAACATATTGTTTTGTATATGTATCAGTTTCTTGCCATTTCTTTTTGCAATTGCAGCTGAAGTTTCCAATGTTGTGTTAAAATGCACAACACACTTGTAGCGACCATTGTTAATGACATAGAATGAAAGGTAAACAGATGTGTTTTACGATGGAAGTAGCATTCTGTTGTGAGCATGGTTTTATTTAACTTTATTTATTTTGGACCATGACCAGATCCAACTTGATGCCTGTTGAAATGATTGACTGTCCAAGGAATCCATGGCACCCAACCAGGTAGCACATGACATATCGATTCCTTTTCCATGCACTCAGATGATAGCGATTTGTAACAGTTTTTCTTTTGCTTGTGTGCTTCTTCTCTGTTCTCCTCCTATGGAACCATTAATTCTACTAGGAGGACACACTTATTAGAATCAGGCCATGCTGTAATGCCAAGGTGTGTGTCTGTCTGAATGATGTGTACCAGAAATTGCAGTGGTGTTCTAAGATCAACTAACACCCTCCAAATAAAGGCTCCACTCAGTAGTGTTATGTTTGGTCTTTCACACGGGGCGTTCACCTTCCTTGTGAAAATGGATTTTAGGTTCTCTGGCCATTACAGGCTGTTTATTGGCTGCTTCACACTGTGTACTGACTAAGTCCATGACCACTTTCAGCACATTGTTATGACGCCATGTGTATATCTGCAGTGATTGTGGTCATGCAAAGAGCATGTGATGTAAAGTGCCTCAATCACTTTGACATAATATGCATACATCAGTTTCAGTGTATCCCCACAGCTTGAGATTGGTCGCATTTGGTAGGAGATCATAGGTAGATCGCAGGAGGAATGATATTGCCAATGGCTCCATTGCAATCAGGGTATTCCATGATAGCTTCATTGGATCAATATCACTGCATGTAGTCCAAGAATATTGTTTGGACTGAGAAACAGTAGTAGCTATTTGCTGTTCATCTTTAAAATTCCTGATTTCTTCTATTAACATGTCTCATTGACCCTTTTTAGAGAAAAATTGATTGCTTGTGCTGCTCAGGCCAGCTCAATTAGTTAGGGTCACCCCCATAATCTTCGTTTGCAGCCTGGATTTTGCTTCTTGGGTAGCTTCTACTGCTAACCATTTGGTGCCAGTTTTGTTATATGGCTGTAATCAACTTAACATTTTTTGTTGTTAAAAGTATAAATCAAGATGATTGCAAAATATTTTAGTGAATTTATATGGTGAGCAAATGAAAGAATGGATTCTTGTCAAAAGTTATAATTACTGTTACTTGTAATTATGTGTTTATTTAAATTTTGTTATTCAGACATTTTTATAAGTTTATGAATAAAAATTTGTTTTCCTAGTCATTTCTTCATAATATAGTAAATAATAAATATTGTATTGTAGTTGGTTTACATTTTTATAAACTTGTAAATATAAATTATACTTGGAAATAAACAATCTAATAAGACAAATAATATTTAATTCTTTTGTTGTCAATTCTCGAGAAAATAAGAGAATGCATAAATCCATTTTCATGTGTTTGTTTTTTATTTAAATTCTAAAAAATAGCTTTTAAAAACAATAAAAATTGCTGAGGGAGTATAGAGAAAAGACATCTTTTTAACACTCCATTTTTTTGTGGGCTCATATATTAAAATTTCCCTGACAGAAATTTCTATTGTTTTGCAGTAAATGACTTAAGTAAGGCTGAGTCTGGTACTAGACGATACCAGTAGTCACCTAGTGAGGATCAAGATTAAATCTTGAACAAAATCAATATGATGGATTTTACTAATCATCATACTACTGAAGATGTCTCAAAGTAGTATGACACAAGGCCAAAAATGTGGAGCATCCAGTGTGGAGTGTACTGAATTTTAAAAATGAAAACCATTTATTTGGATAGTCAAACTATATATATATATATATATATATTTCTCAGACTTTTAAGAACTGCTTATTCTATTCATATGATAATAAATATATATATATATATATATATATAATATATATTTTACCACTTTGGATAGGGATATTTTTTGTGTGATGCCATATCAGCTGTTCAAGAAGTATCATTGTTTCCACTGCCATCATTACCATCTGTGAACTGCTTTGAATTACTATCTGATTGTCCAAAGTCTTGTTATATTGGCAGGCAAAGAAACTTCTCACGATATATGTTTACACCTGACCCCATGTATTTAAACATTTCTTTGTGAGTATACACATTTGGTCAGACATTATAAAAATATTGTTAGGTTTTCTTAAATTAATAACAGAAATGGCGTTTCTTTATTTTCTTTTCTTACCCTTCTGGGTTTGTTCTGGCAGACATCCTGTGATTGTACTCAAGTGAAAAAACACAAAGCAAGATACACCTAAAGATCATGTCATGCTTGGAGAGACCTCAATGTTTGTGGCAAAGAGAAAGGGATGTTCCAAAGACAGGAGTCACAGTTAAGAAAAAAATCTAATGGATGCACACACCAATATGCAAAACAAAAAAAAAAAAAAAAAAAAAAACACATCAATATGCAAAAATGGCTAGCACCCTCAAATGCAGAGATTTGAACCATGCAACCAAATAAAGACATTATTCAAGTCGAAGTTGTCAAAAAGACTATTCTAAATAGGGTACCAGTACTGCGATCAAAATTGAACCTACAATGGCAAGTTGTGAGTGAGTGGGTAAAAAAGTATTAAGTTGTTAAAAAGCACAACAGTGGAGGAAATAGGGGGTGGGGAGAAATTAGAAAAAGAAAAAAAAAAAAGAAAAAAAAAAGAAGCTAAGTAGCATGCAGCCACACCTGAATCTACAAGTGGAAGGAACCAGATTATAGTGAGAGTTCTAAAAAGCTAAAATCCTTTGAAGAAAAAAAAAAATAGAAGCAGAAGGTCTGTAAACAGTAAGTGCCACATTTTGAATTGAATAATCCAAAAAAGGAATATCTTTAATTTTACAAGGAAGGGAAGGAAGATGGAAGGGAAGGGAAAGAAAAATGCTTTGAGTCAGTGAACATGCAAGAAGGTTCTCATGCATGAAAGCTTATAGCAAGGTTTGGTTTGTGTATGTGTGAGAGAGACAATAGAGCAAAAGAGAAGAGAAAGAGGACAAGCAAATGAGAGGGAAAAAGCCAAAAAAAGAAAAAAACGAGTGAGAGAATAAGAAAAATAAAAAAAACGAGTGGTAGAAGAGATGAAAAACGAGAGAGAGAGAGAGAGAAAGATAAAAAAACGAGAGAGAGAAAGATAAAAAAAACGAGAGAGAAAAGATTAAAAAACGAGAGAAAAAGATTAAAAAACGAGAGAGAGAAGATAAAAAAAAGAGAGAGAGAGAAAGATAAAAAAACGAGAGAGAGAGATAAAAACGAGAGAGAGAGAAAAACGATAAAAAACGAGAGAGAGAAAGAAAAAAAAAACGAGAGAGAGAAAGATAAAAAAACGAGAGAGAGAAAGATAAAAAACGAGAGAGAGAGAAAAGATAAAAAACGAGAGAGAGAGAGAAAGATAAAAAACGAGAGAGAGAGAGAAAGATAAAAAACGAGAGAGAGAGATAAAAAAAAAACGAGAGAGAGAGAAAATAAAAAACGAGAGAGAAAGATAAAAAAAGAGAGAAAGAAAAAAAAACGAGAGAGAGAAAGATAAAAAACGAGAGAGAAAGATAAAAAACGAGAGAGAGAGAAAGATAAAAAACGAGAGAGAGAGAAAGATAAAAAACGAGAGAGAGAGAGATAAAAAACGAGAGAGAGAGAGAGAGATAAAAACGAGAGAGAGAGAGATAAAAACGAGAGAGAGAGAGAGATAAAAACGAGAGAGAGAGATAAAAAAAACGAGAGAAAAAAAAGAGAGAGAGAGATAAAAAAAACGAGAGAGAGAGAGAGAGAGATAAAAAACGAGAGAGAGAGAGAGAGAGATAAAAAACGAGAGAGAGAGAGATAAAAAACGAGAGAGATAAAAAACGAGAGAGAGAGATAAAAAACGAGAGAGAGAGAGATAAAAAACGAGAGAGAGAGAGATAAAAAACGAGAGAGAGAGAGATAAAAACGAGAGAGAGAAAAAGAGAAAGAAAAAAAACGAGAGAGAGATAAAAAAACGAGAGAGAGAGAGATAAAAAAACGAGAGAGAGAAAAAAAAATAAAAGAGAGAGATAAAAAAACGAGAGAGAGAGAGAGAAAAAAACAACGAGAGAGAGAGAAAAAAAACGAGAGAGAGAGAGATAAAAAACACGAGAGAGAGAGAGAAAAAACAAACGAGAGAGAGAGATAAAAAACAACGAGAGAGAGATAAAAAACAACGAGAGAGAGAGAGATAAAAAACAACGAGAGAGAGAGAGATAAAAAAACAACGAGAGAGAGAGAGAGAGAGATATAAAAACAACGAGAGAGAGAGAGAGAGATAAAAAAACAACGAGAGAGAGAGAGAGATAAAAAACAACGAGAGTGAGAGTGAGAAAGCAAAAAATGAGAGAGTGACAGAAAAAAAATGAGAGAAAAAGAGTGGGCAAAAAAACGAAAGAGTGTGAGAGGAAAAAAAATAAGAAACAGGATTCTGTACTGGGAAGGCAAAATAGCTATAACAGTGGTGGGCACATTTTGTGACAGAAGGAAAGTGGCCTTCAAAAAAAAAAAAAATATATACCCAAGTGGAAAGGGATATCAACTGACAGAAACTGAACAGGAGTGTATGTGCAGAGAAAGTAACAGGTAACAGTAGTTACACAAGTTGAATGTGGTACACACACACACACACAAAAATAAATAAAAGTAAGATGTGTACAGTGATGTAGAGGGGTGGGGGGAAAATGAAAGTCAATGACCTGACTGAATACAACTATGAAAAGAAACAGAGGAAATGAAAAATCCAATTGTGGTGATGCCACCACATTTTAGATTTCTGTTATCAGTTATTGATATGCTAAGGAAATGATGAGTTTCTCTTATTGTAAGTATTATATAAAGTATGGTCAATGTGTGCCACTGCCAAAAACTGTTTTATGAATTTGTTAAGTGAAATGTAAACCTGTCATTTTTGACAAGATCTCAGCAAGTTTTAAGAGAAAGACGAATCCAAGTCAGAAATTTGTTAAAATTTTTTTTAATGACATTTGATGCAAAACACAAACATGTGATTGACTTGAATTGTAATCTTTCACTTCTTGATATCTTGACTCAGAAATTCCATGGATGTTGGCAATTAAGATTATCCCTTATCTCTTTCTCCATATCTTATTTACTGTCATTTTTCATTGATCTTTCATGATTTCATCACAAATGTTATATTATTAAAAAAACAAAAAAAAACAAAAAACAAAAAAACACAAATATTTTCTATAGCAGCCTCTCTTCTCTACTGACTTTCTTTTTCTCTATTGCAGCATGAAGAACTTTAATATGTTAATACCCACTGTTCCCAAAGTGGGATGGTAGACATTAATGGCTTATAGGTTGAAAACTAAAATAACTGGATTTTTATTTAAATTTATATAATAAATAAATTCTATGGTGGACATTAATGGGTTAATGTAGAGGAATTTTCTTTTTTGCCTTGATATCCAACCAGCGTACCCATTTGTCTTCAAGTCAGCCTCTCTCTCTCTCATATATATATATATATATATATAAAAAGAAAGAACAGTAACATATATAATCCGGTGTTCTTATAGATATTTTTATTTTTACAAAATAGTGCTCGATGTAAATTTACAGAGCATTAATATTATAAATTAATTGATTTAAAATATGTTTTTTCTGCTACACAGTTCTAACCATGTTTCAAAAATGGAAGCTAAAAGCCCTGAATTTAATTTTGTAATTAAATTAATTTAATTACAAAATTAATTGTAATTTTAAATTAATTTAAAATATGGTTTTTCTGCCACAAAATTAAAAAGCCTGAATTTAATTTTGTAATTAAATTAATTTAATTACAAAATTAATTGTAATTTTAAATTAATTTAAAATATGGTTTTTTCTGCTACACAGTTCTAACCATGTTTCAAAAAAAACCATATTTTAAATCAATTAATTTATAATATATATATATATATATATATATATATATATATATATATTACTGTGGCAGACCTATATTTTGGAGGTTTGGAAATTTTTAACAGATATGAGAGACCCTTTCCAACCAGCAACAATAGATTAGAGTACCCAACTGCCAAAATGTAGGCTATCAATAGATTCTGAGCGCTACTAGCCCATACATCTGGGGATTTAGTCACTGCAAGCCCCCAAGAAAATTTTGAAATTTGACCAATTACAGGGGATTTTTGAGGCCGTATGAAATGGGTATTAAAGTATATTTTAAGGCCAACATTAGATACATCAACCCATTGGCTTATGATTTTATTACTAAAATGGCCTTATTTTAATAGTTTTTTTGTTGAAAACTTCACTCATTAAAAAAAAAAGTTGCTTCAGGGTTCATTCTGGGATTAGGAGCCCTGAAGTTTAAGCTTCATTTTTTTCAGAGATTCACCACTGCTTGGGCAGTAATTTTTAATTTATGGATTTTTGATTAAAAACTAAGAAAAGTTCCTTGTTGATTTCTTTTCATAATTCAATCATGTCTCTCATTTCTCGTTTGTATTTGTAAATACACTCATACCTCATTTTAATGGATAAAAGGGGGGTGGAGACATCAATCTGATAATACCGACTGCCTGTAGTTACTGATACTAAATCTGATCAGTTTAAGCTTTTGTGCTACTGTTAAATTCATACTTTTCAGCTTTTCTACTCTTCCCCCAGATGACATGGTTATAGAAAATGATGAATATAAAAACATTTAAACACACTGGCATATAAAAAAAGGGAAAATCCTTGGCTCAATAAGCTATACATGTCGTTAGACACAAAGTAATGGCCCACCAACTAGTGGTCAGCTTGTGAAGCAATGGCTTGTATCCAGTGTTGCCACAACTCTGTCCCTAGTGTACAGGACTTACAAAAAGTCGACTGCTCCAGATTTTGTTCATTGCTTGCAATATTTGTTAATGAGAGATGCATAATACCTAGGTATGAGTGTATATCTTCCCATGGCTAACAAAAGCTGTTTTTTTTTTGTTATGTCATCATTTTAATTCCTATGTTAGCTTTAATTATGCTTTGCATATTCACATGAGTATTTTTCCATTTTTTTTTTCTGTAAGAAATATTGTAGTCAAACTCTGAAAACAGTTAAATGCTTGAAATTCACAGATGTTGCAGGTCATCTGCTAGGTCAATGAATGCCAAATGTTTCCTTATAAGGAAATGGCTAATATCACCATTCTCATTACCAAATAATTTTATGTCATCAGACTTCTCATAGTCCTCAAAATTGGAAGTGGCGTTGAAAGGCCAACATTTTTTATTCAGTAATAAAGTTGCCGTGTGCATCTAGACTAAAACTAAATCAGAAGAGTTCTTTATGGATTGAAAGAGAAAGTGGATAGAATGTTTACAAAAAAGTGTAGCAGTAAATGGTGACTGTTTTAAGAACAAACTTAGAATTCTGTAGAGAAAATTTATTTCATTTTGATATCAGTTTCATTATTCTTTCTGGTCTAAAAACTATAAGATCAACTCATCATTTTGAAAGGAAATAAATGCATTTCATTTTGACATCAGTTTCATCATTCTAATTGGTGTAAAACTTGTTTTATAAGATTTATTTATCACTTTTTTTACTTTATCACACAACTTTCTTAACTGACAAGATTGAGGAATCAAACTCACAATTTATTAATCATCACCTTACTACAAAGAGAGAAGGAAAAAAAAAAAAAAAAAAAGCTTAAAATATTGATGATTACACCTGAGAGGGTTTGGCCTATGTGAAAACATTTGAAAAAGGGGGAAACAGTAGCCGTAACAACTACAGAGCTTTTGATCGCTCTGTAAGTGACCAACAAAATTGTCAAACTATTAACAAATACAAAGAAATTAATTACAAAATAGACAAAAAAATGCACACACACAAAAAGTAAAGTGGTGTGTGTATATATATATATATATATATATATATATATATATATATATATATAGAGAGAGAGAGAGAGAGAGAGAGAGAAGAAAAGTGCAGACATAGTAATCAACACTGTATGGTGACTAAGTTTCATGCATCAATAGTCTAAAGATCGCATTGAAGTGTGAAACAGATAGTCACTATATAGTATTGAGTTCTATGTTGGCACTATCGTCTGTATCTATAAATGCTCCATCTTTGATATTAAGTACGCTTCTCTTATAAATATAGCAAATTTTAAACACACACACATTATATATATATATATATATATATATATATATTATACATACAGACACACAAAAACCACAACCAACCAATATTTGAAAACCTGGAAAATGGTGATTGAGAAAGAGCTGATGTGTGGCATGCATTTTAGAGGATTTTAACCACTTGTGACAAAGACTTTTTTCTTGGTGTGTGTGTGTGTGTGATGTCAATGATGAAGGGTTTTCAATCATTCCAGAACAATCCCACCTTTCAGATTTAATTACCATCTATGAATTGTCTCAAATCACACTGATTCACTGCCAGAATAAGATGACCCAGGACAAAGAACCAAGTTGTGGAAAGGAATCTTGGAAAATTGAATTATTTTATAGCTACTTTATCATTTTAATATAAAACACATGCACAATGATAAAAGAGTCAGCGGAAAGATTCAACACTGTGGCCAACTCGCAACAATCTGAGACCCAGAGATATTTCAATTGCCATGTCTGCCAGCTTAGCTAAGATTTTCAGCAAGTTTTCCTTGCCACAAGACTGTATAGCTTGAGCTTTCAGTGATTAGCTTTCCATCCATAATACCAACACATTATTCTTAGGTGCCAAATAGAATATGGGGAAAGGGAAATTTGTGTGTGTGTGAGTTCTGCCCACTCCTCAAGAATATTAAGATCCCCATGTTATACATTTTGCACTTTTTGATGGTTTAAATGTTCTCTGAAACTCACTTTTATAAAGATACGCCTCCATAAGACCATTTACGTCTTATTTTGGCAAATAAAATCATTAACACTTTGCTTGCTACCTATACATAATGTCATCAATAATTTGATAGGGTTAGAAACTTAAAAAAAAAAAAAAAAAATATGTGCATAGCAGTTATCAGTATGGAAAAGTGGGATTAGAATGCTGAATAAAATTCCAACTAAGATCATTGTATTTTACTTCTTACTGATTTTGTTTACTTTTGCACAAATACCTTTGACAAACGTATGGATTAATTTCTTCTTCTCCCATTTAAGAGTCAAATTGCAAAGTAGACCGAACTTTCTCACCTTGGTTGGTAACCAGTCTAGGAGAAAGACAACTCTGAGTTCAAAAACCTGTGTTGGAACTGGTGCAATGACCTACCTGCCCAGCTGGAGAGATGACAAAATTTAATGGATCAGCAAGGACTAAATCTGCACCTGACAGCATGGTTTGTCAAGATGATAAAAGACAAGTTAATTTTCTTTATCAGAATGAAAGCTAACTTTTTTTTTTTTTTTTATTTAGAAAAAAAACAAAAACAAAAAAACTATAAAAGATGTGTCCTTGCTTTTCTTCTCTGTAATGCAACATGAAACACTTTATGCATCAACACTGACGTTTTATAATTATTTAGGAAAATAAAAAATAAATATATATTTGATAATCATCATAATTGGTGAAAAAAAAAATGTGTATTTGTGGGGAGGGAGTGAGCATTTAGTCAAATCACTCCCACATAACTGCTATACCTGTCCCAGTAGGAGTAGTAAGAAGCTGTTGACCCCAGTGTTAACCTTGACAGAAGCTGATTATATGCTAACAGAAAAATAATAGCATAATAAATTCAGATTTAATAACATTGTGGTTCATAAAAATTCATTCACGAAAGAGGATTTACATTGAAACAATTGAACAGTAGTTATAAATTAATTCTTATACCTTCCAAGAAAGTTACCAGGTTTTAAACGTTCACACGTGGCCTTTACTGTTACATAGAAGATAGTTAAAAAGTAAAAAAAGAAAAAGAAAAAAAACTGTGGCAAATGTGATTTTACAAGCATGAAAAGTATTGGTTAAGAGTAAACCAAAATACAGAAACAGCAATGAGCATGCAAGAAGCAGTTAAAGAATTTAAAATTGTGAACAAACAAATTTTTTGTGATGTGAAAGGTTTAGTGCTGTTGGCGTGGTTAATATTAGGATTAGCAAGCCATGTGGTGAGAAAGAGAATAAAAGAGAGAAGAGCCAAAGATAAAAGGGAGGGGGGAAAATAGAAAGGAAAAAAATGAGAAGGGTGATGAGGAAGTAAGTAGGAGGGGGTCAGCCTTGCCTGGTTAGGGACCTTCTGGCTGGTCACCGAATCAGAATCGGTGTCGTCATCATAATCGCTGTGAAGAGCAGCTGTGCAATTCTCTAAATCCCTTATTGCTTCTTGGATGTCCAACAAGTCCAGCAGAGACTACACGAGGGAAAGGAGATACCAGAACAGAAGAATAAAGAGAAAAAAAAAAAGAAAAAGAAAAGGTAAGTCAAAAGTCAGGTTAAAAAAAGATTCAAAGCAGTTATAGGTGTTAGGTAGGAGAATAGAGGGAGGGGGAAGGAGTGTGGAAGGGAGATGAGAGGGGAGGAGGACAAGAAGGGAAACATAGAAGGGAGGAAGAGGAATGTAAAGAGAGCGAGAAGAGAAAAAAGGAGGAAGAAGGAGAGAAAAAGAGAAGGAAAAGAGGAGGAGATGAAAAGAGAAAGGATAGTGGAAGGGCAAAAAGGAGAGAATGAGAGTAAAGTAAAAGGCTATAGTAGTGGAGGGATGGGTGATAAAGAGAAGGAAGGTGGCTCAAAATCTGTCCTCATGAAGACTTGATCTGCTCCTCATCCTGCTTCTGGAGTGCTCACCATATTGAGAAAGCGAGAAAGAAAGGGTGGAGTAAGAGTGAGAAGAGGATAAGATTGAGAGAAAGAGAAGGAAGGGAGAGAAATAGAGACGAAAGAAAGAGGGGAATAGAAGGGAAAGGGAAGAAGGGGAAGGAGAAAGAGTGGAAGGGTTGCTCAACATCTGTCCTTCTGAAGACTTGATCTGCTCCTCATCCTGTTGCTGGGGTGCTCACCATATTGAGAGAGAGAGAGAGAGAGAGGTAGCAAAAAAATGGCTTTTGAAATAAATGCTGTTAAGATGACATTAAAGAGTGTGCATTATTGTAAACCTAGTCCAATGAGCTTTTTCATTAAACAAGTCTAAAAGAATCACACTTTCACAAAATATTTTTGCTGGAAATCAAAATCCAAGTGAAAAAACAAGAGAAAAATAATGTGCTGATTTAAACAAACAGAACCTTGCACCCCCCCCTCAAATTGCAAATTAGAATTTCTAAAAACAACCCTACTCTGTCAGTAATGTCTGGATTAATTCTTGGCCACTGACAATTTCTTATTTTGTGTGTGTGTGTATATATATATATATATATTTGGCTGGATTGATGCGAGTTTGTGACCCTGGGTTTCACGCTTTTGTGATTGTCAGACAAATATATTATATGCGCGGTACTTATTAGAAAGCGCTCAATATCAGAGATAGAGCTAACATATTTGGGTCACAAACTCACATCAATCCAGCCAAATATGTTAGCTCTGTCTCTGATATTGAGTGCTTTCTAATAAGTACCACGCATATATGTATGTGTGTGTGTGTGTGTACTGGGATCAAATAAGGATTGGAATCCAACAATGATAGGGTAAGAAACAAATAAGAAACATTTATAGATCTAGCATGTTTTGCTTTTATTAAAACTTCACCAGAGAATGGAATATAGAGGAGAAAAAGAAAGAGAAAAAATTTTGACCCTCACGCAAAATGTCCCCAAATCAACATGCAGAGAACCATTAAATAAAGATGCTTACTAGACACACAAACAAATGAGTATACATTATCATCTGAATTCGGCATAGACTAAAATTATGATACACATGAATGCTGTTTGACAAACATAGATGCATATGATGTTTGTTTAACCAATGATAAACAAATAACACAAAAATTAAAATTAACAGAAGTTTAGTTTTTCTCTTTTTCCTCCATATGTAATTCTCGGATGATGCTTTAATAAAAGTGAAACCCGTTATATTTATGAATGTTTCCTATTTGTTTGTTTTATATATATATATATATATATATATATATATATATATATACACACATACATACATACATATATATATTAAGAAGTGGACAAAGTCCCACAATTTATTTATTAAAGACATTTTTATGTTTAACGTTCTTTTTTATAGATACAAGTATTTAAGTGTTTGTTTTTATAAAAAACAGTATTAAATTTCTCGGACATTCAGGCCAGTAAACGTTATTTAATACTGTTTATTATAAAACAGAGCATTTTAAAATATTGTATCTATAAAAGAACGTTAAACATAAAATGTTACTTTTATGTATATATATATATATATATATATATTTACTTTTCATAGATGTTATCATCGTTAATGAGCTCTCTTATTTTCTGTTGGTAAATGTGTTTATCCATAATTACAATTCCTCTGCTCTTATCAGAAGTAGATATATGAACAATTTTGTTGTTAGCTAATTCTTTCAGGGCTTTTATGTATCTTTAAAGAAGTGCGGTGTTGTTTCGTATTTTTGTGTCTAGCTGTGATTAGGCCTTGGATATAGCCGTTGATAAAGCTGGAGACATTGTGGTGATGATTGTTAATTATGTAATCTGTGATGTCATATTTTGGTATTCCAGTGGCAAATTTCTGACCAAAGCTGAGTGCTTCTAATTGTGTATTTTATTTATAAATTCCAACTAACTTCTTTACAAAATATGCAGATAGCATTTAACATCAAAATATTATCTAGTATGACAATCCCTATTTACAGGGTGAAACTCGAGGTTATATATTTTAATTGAGTGTATTTGGGCTGCAGTTTTTTCATTTATACACATCTAATTAAAAACCAACAAAAGTTCAATGTTGATTTTATTTTTAACTACGATTTCTCTTTGGTATTGGTAAATCAAACTTTTCCCACGTCTAACTGGAAATCAAAAAGTTATTCGAAATATCTAAAAAGTAAAAAACAAAAAATTAAAAAGTAATCAACATGGAACTTTTGTTGGTTTTAATCAAATATGTATACATACATTACACAACTCCTCTGTTAGCAACATTTACATTAAATCTGGATCACTGACAATTTCTTTCTTTTTGATTTTAATATATTTCTAAAGAAAAGTAATGTACGATGATTTTTTTAATCTTCTATGGGAAATGCTTTTAGTCACTGCTGCATCAATATACTAGTAATGATTAGTATAAAGTTTTGGGGTTTTATTTAATAAACATACAAAAATTAAACTTTTAATGATTGACAGATGAAAACATTACATCTTATATAAATTTACTGTATACACATTGCTATGGCAACTTAACATTTTCTAATATTTTGGTTGTTAGAAAAAAAGCTGTTTCTGTTTCTATATTGACTTTTGAATGTTCTACTTGGATACTTACATATTTTTCACATAAAAGTACTAATAGCCTTATATACACTTTAACCCATTAGCACTCAACACGCTCATACCCGTCCCTATAAATATTGGCTCTCAAAGTCTTACTGTTTGCATTACTTCCTGCGTTATTTGTGATGATGATGATGTCATATAATATGAAAGAGTATACATGGAGTGGGACACAGTGGGTTGAATGCTAAAGGGTTAAATATGAACAAATCCATAATTATTTAAGTATTTATTTACACACACGCACATATATATATATGTATGTATGTATGTATGTAAATAAAAAGAAAGAACAGTAAGATATATAATCCGATGTTCTTATAGATATTTTTTTTTACAAAATAGTGCTCAATGTAAATTTACAGAGCATTAATATTATAAATTAATTTATTTAAAATGTTTTTTTCGCTACACAGTTCTAAGCATGTTTCATTTTTTAAACATAGTTAGAACTGTGTAGCGAAAAAAAACATTTTAAATCAATATATCTCCAAATGTAAAAGAACAAAAAGAATATAAATTCAAATGTTCATAACATTAAAACAGTTATATATATGTGTGTGTGTGTGTATTGGTTAGAACATTTACTTTCTGACCATGAGGCCTGGGTTCAAATCTCACCATGACTGATTTGTCAGGAAGGCGACTTCCTGATGTTATCAGACTGGATCGAGGTAAGTCTCAGCATGCGGCACCTTTGGAAAGTGCCTGAAAAACATAGCCCATGAGTTGACCCAAGCCTTGTGAGTGAAATTGGGTAGATCGAACTCTTGTGGGCTGTCAATAGCTGTGCTAGCAAAAAGCCACAAATCATCGTGGCCAAGAGATTTAGCATGCTGGCCTTGTTCAAATTGTTGATCGCGATAGATAACACGCTCTCTCCCAGAAACTGTAACTGAAGTCTGTTCAGCATAGTTGCAGTATAAACCACAGGTGGGCTCTGTGGATGTTGAACAAAAACAAATGTGCCTGAGCGAGCATCTGCAATAGGGATTGGCTAGCCACCCTAGTAGATGGGTATCCTCGAATGTGTGTGTCCAGCTATTATTATCATTATATATATGACCCTGTGTCACCTAGGAGAAAGCATCATTAGATGTGATATGCCTTAGACCACTCAGCCATGTAGAATCTCTTGATGAAACAAAGCCTGTATAGTGCCTTTGAACATTTTCCCGATTCTTGAAATATACATATCTGCTCTGTTTCGTATCCTAATGTAAACAAAGACAATTTTTTAGGAAATTAATTAAATCCAATATTTTTACAATTCATTTGTTTAAACCTTATTTTAAATGGATACTCATATTTGAGTAGATGCTCAATTGTTATTTATTTATTAAACAGTATATTTATTTATTTACATCTACCAGTTTGAATATTTGAGAAATTGTGCTAGAAAAATATGCACCCTGAAGGCTGCCACCTCATTGCCGAGTAGGACTATCAGAAGATATCACTGTAATATTTAGTTGTGCTTCGAATGGACAAGGCTCTTTAAACATAAAACCTATGGGATAAAGTCGATAGGACTGAGACATGTATTTTGTTGTCATTAGGTTTATTTTTTTGACTGCATGTCTTTTCAGCTCACAAATGGACTTGCAATGTTTTCCACAAATATTACATGAATCCTCAATACTTAATGCCATTTTTTACTTAGTTCTCTGGTGTGATGATTTTTGCATATGACAATTTTCTTGCTTTACTCAAGAAAAACCTATTGCAAACAGCACTGGTGAGGTCATGCATGTCAACTACATGGTCTAGAAGTTCTTTCAGGTTTTCATTTGCAATCTGAGTACTCTTGAAAACAACTATCATGAACTTTTTTCTGCCAGAAAAGAAAAAATAATTGACCAAAAATTTAGCAACCTAAGCAATACAAACAATAAGTGTAATAATTTTGATGTGTGAGTGGTCCAGCAGGATGTACAGATAGTCTGACACAAAAAATGGAATTGATGAGCCAAGTTCAAATTCCTGCCTAGTCTGTTCACTTTTGCACAAGGATACAAAAAGAGGACCAGGCAAGTTATTTGGAGATCAAGTAAAAGGACAAATGGGAGATTTAAAAATCATGACCAACAATATGACAGATACCTATTTCACTACATTTGGCAAATGTATGTTGTTAGAATGTACAGATGACATAATGGTTATCAGCATAGAAAAGAGAACTGGTGAGTAGAGTTCAAATTTCATCCTTGTTTTGTTCTGTTCACTTTGCATTGTCTTTGGGAAAGCCATAAATTGTTTTTTTTCTTTCCCTAGCTATAGGTTAAATAGCAGAGTAGATTGGGCTATATAACCTTGGGTGGCAAACTAGTCTAAGAGAAGGATGAATTTCATGCCATGGCAAAATCAATGGGAAACCACTCCACTATGGCATATCACAGATAAAGAAATTGAATCAGGAATATGTGGTGAGCCATGATTGCCTATGTCCTGTAGGGACATGGTATTTAAAAAGGGGTGGGGGAGTCCCAGTGATTCTTGGTGCATACATAAATATAAATATTAAAGTAAATTACATGTCAAATTAGTGAATTTAACTTTAAAATAACTTCTTTCTTTTTTAGGAATGTCTCAAAAATAATACCTCCTATTTCATTATATTGACTTATGAT